CTTTTAAAAACTCCAAACGCACCAAGTGGGAACAATTCAGCCACTGGAAAATTTGTCATCCTTTTGAATACAGATGTTCATTTATTTTAACTTCTGTGTTTTCATTTTTTTTTTACCATGGAATTGATTATTCCATGAGTTAATTAATTATATCTCATTCTAATAGTTGTTAAAAGTTTTAGTATTTTAAATATTTACTAAAAGAAAAAAGATAATACAAAGATCAGCCATTTAAATGAACCTGTAACTTGTTCATTATTTGTTTGCACCTTTAGTTCACTTAAAGGTCATTCTCTAGGGTTATATTATTCTAATAAAATTACATTAAAAATTTGAAAACTCTTGTGTAATTAAGCTTTTTTAAAAACCCCAAAATGAAAACAGGAGACCCTCTCAGGCTTACAAAGGCAGAAAGATTAACATTTGACCCAATTAATTTAAAAAATCAAAATAACACTCGTTACTAATATTCAACAAACAGCTGGTTTCCCTACTTCACTTTCCATCCCCCCTCTTTCCCTCCCCCATCAGACAGGAAACTGCTTCTGACAACAAATCCACCAGCTAGAAGTCAAGCAGCCAGTAGGCAGAGGCTGGCAGCTGATTCTTCAACGTTCCTAATTACAAGCACTTACGAGAACTTACCCCCTCCTCTCTCTCACCCCCATCTACTGAAGAATTAAAGCCTATCAGTGTAAGAGACTCATTAAGATTTATGAAAGACGCTAACAGGTGAACTACTATATTGATCTTGCTGGGGAAATAAGGCCAGTGAGTAGAGCCCAGTGGTCAAATTGACATACAAACCCACCACAAGACTCATAAATACCACAAACTTTGACACTGTCAATTCACACAATTGGAATGCAAGAATGGAAAATGGTGCACACACCAATGGGCTGGTTCGAACAAACTATAATTTCCAACGACTAAAGAAAAATTAAAGTATCAGCTATTTAAGGCTCTATACACCCCCCCCAACACATTCTTTACCAGCACATTCAGTAGTTTAAATAATACGTAATTTATCCTTGATTCTAGAAGTATAAAACTCCTATAAATAGCACAAAAAGCATGACCTTTCCATTTTATAGGTTGCCTTATAAACCAGGTTCAAATGACACTTACTACACATGATTTTAAAAATACAAAACTCAAACTTTAAGACATCATCAACACTCATTCTAGTTTACAAAGGTAATTACATAAAGTTTAATTCTTTTTAGGCCTTATCTTTTACAAGAGGCAGAAGCCTAAAGTTATCAATAACCTACTAAAATAAGCATAAATGTGAAACTAAGAACAAAAGTGTATTTACCACAATTATTCCCAACAACGTTTGAGAGATTTCAAGTGCGCCTCTTACCACAATAGCATGAGGAGAATGCACTAAGGGCTTTAGTTCATTCAGGTCATTCTCTGCCTGCAAAAAGTGGCATAAGAGAAAAACAGAAATGTCACAGCACGCACGTCAGGTACGTAACTTTAGCAGCAGTCACACAGCTCTATAGGCCCTACTTTACCTTATCCCAGTCTCCTTCCATGACATGATTTCGGAATTTGGTAGCAGAAGGATGTTCTAAACGACATCCTGACTCTTGCATGAGGAGATCAACAGTCTGGCTGCAGGAGAGATACAGTGTAAAAAAGACCTGGCCAACTTCAGGGTTCACTCTTCCAAATCAACTAATGTCTATGAAAACAGTTGCCGAAGTTTTTAAGCTAATCTCATGAAGGAAAAAAAGAAAGAAATAGCTTTAATGTGCCTAGCTAAAACCAACTTGATTTTTAAACTGCCACCTTCATTTTTGTCAAGTTAAAAACCTTCCTGAAACTAAAAATCAAAGTCACTTCTTCCTACTTTTGCCACTTAATGCCTCAGAAGTTTAAATGAAGTATACAGCTTCTAAAAACATTTTGTAACCAAATGGTTAAATGAATGGAAAAACCAGGATCTATATACTAACAATGTTGTATTTTGAAAGATAGAAAAATTGTGAGCTCCATACAAGGCCAGAGAGATGCCCTGTGTTAGGGAAGAGCCTTACATCCAGATCTCATGTTTGCATAGAAATTCTAGTAGGTCAGTCTTTAAAATTAAAATAAATCCAGCATGAAAAAATCACTCCCTTTCTCTCTACACTAAAAATAGCAAATTTACTATGGTGTAGGTTCCAAACAGTCACGAGTTATTTCCTCCTGCGGCTGTCGGCTTGCTTCTTGTCTCAGTAATTCGCTGTTAGCATTTAGAAAACCTGTTTTTGTACCAATTCTTTTTCCTTCTTGTAAACAAAAGTGAAATCTTCCTATATTTCTGAGTGAAAAAGAATCATCAAATGCAGTTTCTCCCACCAGCTATTTTGATACCTAAGAACCTTCCTTTATTAGTCTTACAGAGCTGTTTCAAGGCTTTCTTATTCAGCCCTATTTGTTTTTCAGCTCAACAGTGCAAATCAATCACCTGCCTGAGAATCAAAATACTTATGCCACTTTTTAAAAGTGCCCCTTTTCCCCCGTCCCCAGAACAAATCTGTAAATCCTGAACGACAGCATGGGCTGGCATAAGAGCTCATTTTAATCGACGCCGTGAAGCCAGGGAACTGACTGTTGCATGTTTTCGCCCTCAGCCCGATTCTGGGGCTCCCCCGCACTCCCACCAAGCCCTGCTTCCAGCCATCAGTTCCTCTTTGTGTGTACACACAACGGTGGTTTGGGGCCAAGGTCGCCGTCTACCTTCACCCTATTTTAGGTACACAAGGCCATCTCCTAAATGGTATTGGACAATAAATGATTCACCAGATCAGATGTCCCTGTTTCAGAGGCAATCACCCCCGGCACGACACCGGGATTTCAGCCGAGTTAGGGGGGTAGGCCTCTGGTTCACACGCAAGGGCCTTTAAATGGCATCAAGACGGCGCCTCACTTCATTATCCCCATCAGATTTATTCAACCTCCTTCCCAAGGATCCCAGCCCCTCAGTTCCCATAAACACTTGTAGGTGATTGTCTTTCCTGATTGGTAGTTTGCCTGGGCTGTCTGTCATGGCTGGGGGTGGGGAGGTGTCCCACAAAGATGCCTCTGAGATATACTTGAAAAACAAATTCTCCAAGGTTCATTATTTCCACCAGCTCTCATCCACCCCTCCCCCAACACACACAGAGACACACTCGGCATGTCTTTATTGACAGACAATTAGGCTCTGAAGGTGTGTGGGGAGGGGAGAGATCTTCTGGGTTCTACCACCCCTGCCCCAAACCCCCACCCGCCTGTCCCGTCTGCCCCATCTGTCAGACGGATTGATTTCCCCTTATTTCCCTTTCGATCAGCTCCTCCTCTTCCCGGGTCTTCCAGTCTGGGCTGCGTCCTCCCGTGTCCCAGGCCCTCAGTGCCCAGCAGACGTCCCCCTCGCAGCCCCCTCCCCCGCAGCCTCGGTCCCTCGGTCGGTCCCCAGCAGCTGCCTGTAAAGGATACTTACTTGAGCCCTAAGCCATTCAAGTGCTGTCCTATTAGTCTAATGACGTCCTCGTCCGACTGGGAGAGCCGTTTCTTCTTCTTGAGGCTGCTGCCCAGTTCTGGGGTGGCCAAGGAAGAGGAGGCGGCCGTGGTGGCGGAGGCAGCTGCGACGGTGGTGGCGGCGGCGGCAGCCCCGCCGGGGACCCCGTTATTGACATTCAGGCTGTTGCTATTGTTGCTGGCGGCGGAGGGGGCGGAAGGCAGGAGCCCGTTGGCGTGGGCCAGGTCCCCCGCGGCCGACGACGACGAGGGGGACGACTCCCCGTTCTGGGCCGACAGGCAGGCGAGTTCCTGGGTCTGTCCCTGGCCCCCGCCGCCCCCTCCGCCGCCGCCGCCGCCACCTCCTCCTCCTCCTCCTGCCCCGTTGGCCTGCATGATGCCGCCGCTGACCGGGCTGTGGCCGCTACCTCGGTGGGGGACGGCGGCGGCGGCGGAAGGGGCAGCAGCCGGGGGGAGTCCCACCACTACCACCACGGAGGAGGAGGAGGAGGTGGACGACGAGGACGACGAGGACGAGGACGACGAGGACGGAGGGGAGAGGCCTGCTCTGCCTGCCGAAGCCCCGGGCTCTCCTGCTCCCTCCGCCGCCGAGGCTCGGGGTTTCTTCCGCGGGGGCGGGGAGGCTCCGCCGGTGTCCGAGTCGGAGGAGGAGGAAGCGGAGGCCAGAGTTTCCTCGCCGAGAGAGGCCGTGGTGGGAAGCCGGGGGGGCGAGGCGGGGGAGGGGAGGCGGGGGCCGGGGCGGGGGTCGGGGTGAGGGGGGCCGGGGCGGGGGTCAGGGTCGGGGGGAGAGGAGGGGCGGAGGAGGGAGAGGAGGAGGGGGAGAAGGAGGATCCGGGCCCTTTCCCCCCCCCCTCCTGGAGGCAGCTCGGGGTGCGCGGCCCGGGGGTCGCCGCGGGGCGGCTGCGGGGGCACGGGGCCCGCCGCTGGGCTGAGCCCCGGCGGTGGCGGCGGCGGCGACGGGCGGCAGCGGAGGCAGCTGCCGCCTCTGTGCTCGGGTCCGCTCCGCTCCGCTCCCTGGTGTGTTGATTCTTCCCCCAGCTGCTGCCTAATGGAGTCCAGGCGCTCGCGTCACAGGAAATGCCTATACTGCCCTCCTCACTCACTTCCGGTGGCAGGTATGGAACCTATAGGGGGCCTGTCACCCGGCACGTGCGCTGGGGGCCGGCCGGACCTTGAGGGGCGGGGTGCCCGCGGGCCCGCGGGGCCCGACCCGACCCCGACCCGACCCGACGGGGAGCGGGGCCCGGCCTCTCCCGGCGCCCGGCGGGGCCGCCTCGGCCAGGAGTAAGTCTGTCCCCGCCCTCGGAGGCCGGCGGCGGGCCGCAGCGCCGCGTTCGGGGCGCGAGTGTGTGCGTGAGGACCGCGTGTGACCCGCGAGTGTCCGACGCGCGGAGGGACGGCGCGTCGCCCATCCCCGGCTGGGGGTGCGGGGCGCGCAGGGGGCGAGGAGCTGCCAACACTTCGGGGCGTCGGGCGAGGGTAGGCCCTGTCCCCGCACTCCACGGTGGCCGGGACTGAGACCGGACCCCCGCCCCTCCGAGTGGCGTGGAAAAACTCGGGGTCCCGCAGCCGGGTGCCGTGCACGCGGGCGGCCGGGGGCCACCACGGGAGGTTTGACAGCAGCGGAGGAGAACCCGAGCGCGACTCCGGAAGCGGAGGGAACCTGTCAGAGCCGCGCCCGGCGGGGACCAGAAGCCGCGGGCGGCGCGCGGGTGTGCGCGGCGGGCAGAGCCCCGACGCGGGTCACGCTCGCGCTGGGCCGGCGCGGAGCGCCCCCCCCCTCCGGTCCAGCTGCCGCCCGAGTCACCGCCCCGTTTAGGCGGCAGGAACGCAGAGCCAGCACTCGCCCCCCAGACGGGCTTCATGCGGAGAGTGCAGCCTCCACTCGGGCGCCAGGCTTGAAGCTCTGGGTGAAATGGGAGGCTTGTGGGTCCCGCGGATGTAAAACTGCGCTGAATCGTGACCGTGGGTGAACGGTCTGCTCGGCAGGACACCAAACAACTACTTACACGAGTGTGGTCGGTGGTATACAGGCCTGATATGTGCAAACGTTTTCTCAGAAGTCGAAGAAAAAAAAAGTCCTTCTCTTAAATAGTTTCCCTGCAGAAAAGCTGGAATCTCAACTAAGGCGTCTTAGAGCCTTGGATTTTACGGAATTAATAACTCAGAGTAACTTTACGAGGCCCCGGGAGATAGCCCTTTTTGATAGAAAAATCATTTTTAAAAATGATGCTGATGAGAAATGAGTCAAGCATCTGAGCTCTGTGGATTCGCAGACCGGAAGGAGGGACGGGAAGACCAGTGCAGGGTCTGCGGAGATTCAGCTCTGTGGTTCTCTGCTCTTAGATCCACGGCCAGGTGGCCCTGTCCTTGCAAGGTGACTCATTGGACATGCTGCTGACCTGGGAGAGACCCGCGTCCTAGCTAAGGTTCACAGGGCACCGACATTCTGTCTGTCAGAGCCTGAATTGTTATTTAACACCTTCAGAGATGCTGTTTGTATATTAACTTTAGACAAGCTTATTATTAATTTTATTGTTATTGTTTATACGAAATTTAATTTTGGCAAAAAAAATCATTCATAATGATTAATGGGGCCCATACCAGAATGGAAGACAAACTTCTGAATAAAGTCTACAGCTTTTGTCGAGGAAGAAATCAGTTAGTGGTAGCTACAGACAAGGCTGGCACTTCATTAAAAGGGTAAAAAGAAAAAGAAAGGGGACAGAACTGCTGTGGACACTCCACATGGTTAACCCAGCTATTCTGTGTTTTATGTGCCCAAAGTGATTCTGTATTTGTGAAGTCCCCAGCGCCCTCTGACCACACCCTCCACTGTCTCCCCCCCCCACTTCTGATTGCAGTCACTGGGACATCCTCCAGACAGCCTTTCCTGACTTCCAGCCTGCCAGTCCTTGTCGTGAGTATCATTTATGCAGGCTTCCAGTTTTGAAGGCTGCGTGTATTTTTTTATTTTTAACTTGCAAAGGCTCCCCTCATCAAGTCATCAGAGAGGAGCCTGTTCTAGGGTCTTGTCCCCTTGATTTACCTTCCCCTTTCCGCCCTCTTCCTGGTAAAGACTGAGATGGATTTGGGGAAAAAAAGGTTGAGGTTGTCTTTGAGGAAAGATAAATGGACATGTACACTTAGGACATTTTCCAAAAAATTTGAAAAACACTCATCTAGGACAGTCCTGACTGACAGAAACTCAAGAAATAGTTGTTAGGGCACTCCCTGGCTGGTGTGGCTCACTGGGTTGAACCCTGGCCTGGGAACCAAAGGATGACTGGTTCGATTCCCAGTCAGAGCACATGCCTGGGTTGTGGGCTATGTCACCAGTAGGGGGTGTTGAGAGGCAACTACACATTGATGTTTCTCCCTGTCTTTCTCCTTCCCTTCCCCGCTCTAAAAAGGAAGAAAGAAATAGGTGTTGGGTATCTAAATGACAAATCACTAGTACTGTCCAAGGCAGTGTCTTAATTGTAAAAATTGAGCTATGAGATTCTTTAAGAAGCTGAGATAAATGGTGCTTATAATAAAATACAAACCAAATTTTCACAGACTCCTTCTGTAAAGGAGGAGAAGAGACTTAGTCTTCTGTCAAGGTTTAAGTTTGGTATCTCAACCTGGTACTCAGCAACATTCATTTTATTCAGTTTATTAAAGTTCTGTTAGGAAGAGGTACTTTTCAGGATCTCAGGCATCCATGGGGAGGGATATATTTATATTTACTTCTCTGGCTTTGCTCTTAGCTTCTCTTTGTCTGGAGTTCTAAAGCTGGCATGCCAGACTTGCTGGAAGTGGGTGGGTGTGGGAGAACTCAGGAAAGAGCACAGTTCCTGGAGTGGAACACTTAGCCAATTGGCCTTGGGCAGGTCACTTAACTTTGCTGCTCCACAGTCATTTCACCTTTAAAGTGGGCACAGTGAGTGACATTGGCTTACTTGCCTCATAGAATTGATGTGTGAATCAACCAATGTAATAGATACTTGGAAAAAGACTATGTTGAAAGGTTTTGGAATATAATTTAAATCCTCCATCATTTCCAAAAGGATTTGAAGCCAATGAGTGCAAAGATACAAGAAGGCGTTATTATTATTAATATTTCTGAGCTGTGCACTCTGTAGCCACTTTTGGACCCCACTCTGCCACCTGGCTGAAGGCCTGTGCACCTCCAGGCAGACACCTGGGCATTTGGTGTCTTCTGTGGGCTGGGCGTTCCCAGTGGCTGTGTGATGAGTGAAGGGCGCGGCCATTTTGCCTGCTGTCCCGCACCTGGCTCTGCAGCGCTTGCTTCTATCCCCTTCTACACGCATCCGTTCACAACATGGACATTTGGTACATGCTGGAAGTCAGCTGGGGCGGCCGCCTGGCGGGTCTGAGTGCAGGGCTCCTGTGTCGTCACGTGCACTTGTGCACTCGGAAAGGAACAGGCTCTTCTGCAGAGAGAGGTCTGTCAGCAGGAAAGGGCCCTTTGCTCTGTAGCCCCCTCCAGCAGTTCCTGAGACCCAGAGGGTGGAAGTCATAGTGCCTCAGTGCATTTTCTGCAGGGACTCAAGTAAACCAAGGAGGCTGGATTGTTCTTTTCTCACCACACCGCTGGGTAGACCGCTTGGAACAGCTTGTACGCGCTGCCCTGACTTTCATGGTGGTTCACACTGAAAAACAAAAGCCAAACATGTTCATGGTAAGCTGCGTGTGCAGTGACGACACTCTCCAAAGAATCGTGTGTAAGAGCAAACAGAATGTGGCATTCACGTGTGCAGATATGGAAATAGTGTCAAGTAAAAAAGCATGTAACAGAACGTGTATAATATGATTCATTTTTGGTAAAAAAAAAAAAAAGAATATTGGGCGTACATTTTTTTTCCCTTGTAGGACAGAAAAGCACAAACAGTGGTTAACCTTTGGCTGGAAGGACTGGGGTGGTGAGGGGGGGGTTCTCATTTTTTCCGTTTGCTCCTCCTCTTCAGTGTTTGCGTTTTCTAGCTATGTGTACGCTTTTATTGTGACCACCTGTTATTTGAATTCTGCTTTCTTTTTCTGTATTAATAAATGTTTTATTGTTAAAGCACTTACATCTTTAAAACCACATCCTAAAACTGTCAAAAGATTCATGAGACTTTAATGGTAATAAAACCAGGCCAGATAAAGCAGTGCTGTGCGCATTTGACAGGCATTAACTATATTTGTTGTTTAAAAAAATCTCCTTCCCCTCACCTGCACCTCCTGTGTTCTCAGATGGCTGACTGCAGAGACACACCCCCACCTCTCATTTGGTTCGATTCATCTGGGGCATAAAGGGCGTAAGACATTCCTATTTATTAACTTTCAGAAGTGGATGAATAATTGATGGCCCCTGGAGCCCGGGCAGAGCAGACAACTGGCCCTTTGGGCGGCCTCCCGTCCTCCCAGTTTCCTCCATGCTGCCCGCGCGCCTGGCACCAGGACAGCCATCAAAAACGAGGGTGAAACACAACCAGGACTGCTAACAACAAACAGGTTCTGACTGTTATGAGAACGTAAGTTTTCTGCGCATGTATGTGCAGCCCCTGTAGAAGAAATGGCCTAATGGCTGGAGTGTTAAAAATGAAAAATTTGAAAGAGTCCAGTAGGTCATTATTCATAAAATTAAAAAAAAAAACTGTTGAACAGATCTCTAGATTCCTTTAGTTAATTATTTTTATTCTAAAACTGTGCTCTTTACTAAATAATATTAAACGTATACGCCCGTATGAAACATTGTAATAGCTGAAATTTTATGAGTGCCGGTTATGAACAGCAAAGGAACGGAACAGTAGCTCTTGGCTTCTTTCCGTGGCTGGGGGAGCTGTGCTCGGCTGAGGCAGGACCCACGGGGCTTCAGAGACTTGCTGTTTCCTCTAGTGCGAGTGGGGTTTCCACCTCCGCGCACGAGCAGCCTCTCTGAGCGCCTTTCTGCACTAGAAGGACGTCTAGTTTCCTGCTCTACCTCTGATCCTTATCTCAGAGGATCTTGGTCTCTGCCTCTAAATTAATGACAAATACAGCGGGCACAGATAGAAACAGATGCGCTTATACCGCACTTCTATTCGCTGCAGTTTCAACAACGCCGCCATTCCTCTCATTTTGTTTCCAAGTGTCCGCCCTTCCCACTCTCAGCCTTTCTTCCCAGTGATGGCGCGGGCCCACAGCACGTGTTTGGTAATAACACTGTGAGCTAACGCTGACCAGGCGTTGTTTTAAGTACTTTATTCATACTGTCCTATTTAACTTTCTCATCGGCCTGGCAATGTACATGCGATGAAGACCCGCATTTTACAGGCAATGAGCTGAAGCACAGAAAACTTGAGGGCCCATAGCTGGCACATGGGAGAGTCGAGTGCTCCTCCTGACACTACACTGCTTCCCAGAGACGCTGGTATTGGTCTGAAAAGCACCCGTTGCGTAAATTGCTAGGGGTCAAAAGAAGGAAGGGAAGCGAGTCCTATAAATTAATGTTTGAACTTTGCCCTTTTTGTGTATTTGAAACCTGGGGCCTCACCTTTGAAGCCCTCCTCGTTTCATCAGCCTAATTAGTAGCAGATAAGTGAGCCCAAGAGGGAGAGTAAAAGGCTTTTCTTCCTCTAAAAGCTACCACAGGGAGCGCCTGAAAGCTCCTTATCAGAGATACGGTTCATTCCTCCTGGAAGCCCTGCTGAGATGCTGCGTTGTGCCTGAAAGGGACAGCGCACTGAGCTAGATGTAGCCTGGAGATTACAGGTTACACCTTGAACTGGCGAAGGAGGACCAGAAGGAATGGCTGACTTTTCTTTCCCTGTGAGAGCAAGGAGAGCTCCGGCCCCGGAGGGCTTCCTGGCGATGTTTTAAGTCGGGAGGCCCCAGCTGGGTCATTTGTATGTCACCTCGTGTCTGTCTCGGGAGGGCCTCTGAACCGTGCAAGCCCACACTAGTGCGGGACCCTGGAGGAAGAAAGGCAGACTTGACTTGCAGAGGAGTTCATACTTGACTCCAGTAGGAGCTCCAGCCTGGGCCGCTGGCGAGGGAGCCGCTGGTGACTGTGGCGATGCTGGATGGGGACGAGGCGAGGAGGGTCAGTTCAGCAAGGCCACAGGGGCTTCCGTTAAGCGTCTGCTCTTTCAGGGAGGGCACCAAGGTGCTCAGATGCCTCACATGGGCATATACCCCAAAGATGCGGGTAAAGGATAACTCCGCCTTCCCCAGGTGCCCAGGAATGGTTTTCTCCTCTGATGGCCCTGAGGAGAGGCGCACTTGGCCTCCTGAGCTGGGCAGTGTGCACGTGTGGAGTTGCTGTGCTGTTTCAGCTCCTCGGCCTGATATGGGAGGAGCAGTGGCCACGATGACTTGGAGGTCCCTAAGGGGTCGATGTTTATGGTTTCCCCCCTCACTACATAATATTGTTTGATTAGGTCGGGAAGGGTGGGAGAGAGGAGTCGTGAATAGCCAGGAAAACATACAACCTGGGGTTCACTGTGACTTTAAAAAGGTTCCATTGTGCAGGATTTTAAACCAATGCGGAGGCAGAGAGAAGAGGACTGTGGGCCTGGGCGCCCGTCATCCAGCCACAGCGGCCGTCCGCTCACCCAGTCCTGTTTCAGCCATCCTTCCACTTCGGATTATTTTAAAGCAAATTCAAGAGATTACTTTATTTTTAATGTGTATTTATACTTCAGTATGTGGCTCTAAAAGATAAGATGTCTCTTTTTAAAGTATTATAGTTATTCATTTTTAGAGAGAGGGAAAGGGAGCAAGAAAGAGAGGGAGAAAAACATCGGTGTGCCCGGTGGATCAAAGCAGTGACCTCTTGGTTGGTGGGGCAACGCCCAGCTCATGGAGCCGCAGGATTGGGGTGAGCTACGACATCTGTTCAGGCCCCGGCTGCTGTGGCTCAGTGGACTGGGCGCGGGCCTGCAAACCAAG